CGATTTTAATGACCACATAATCGATTACGTGGTCTAAATTTGCCACAATAATGGCTTATAATGGATTATAATGGATTATAATGACAGCATTTTATACAACATTTTTCCATTAAAATCGATTATTATTCATGGAACTCCGGTGCGGGAACACAATATTGATTTGAGGTGAATTCTATGGCAATTTTCAGTGACTAATTTAAGGCTATCAATCGTTGCCTAGTCAAGCACGGCGGCAGTTTTTTTACTAACTATTGTGTTTGATTGTATGCCGCGTTTTTGTCATTTTTAACCGTTTTTTAAGAGTCAGAGTTGAAATTTTGAGAAATGCTAGACGGAGCTATTTCAAAGAATACGTCGGGTAAAAAATAAGGAAATGTTCCGAAGGCATTAAGTAGCCAATATACCATAATTAGTCTTAGAGCTATTTTGCTGTGGATCCATCCTCGCAGACAATGAAAAAAAATTAATATATGGACGTGAATTGGTTTTTTGGGAAACCAATGAGCGTGATTTCTCCTCACTCTGGCGAAATTGATCGACAAAATAATTGAAATAATTCTTTATTTTAGTTACGCGTCAAATAACGAGTCCGGTGTCAAGTAAGCTAAAAATTCATGAAAAATTTTGCACTAATAGCCAAAATAAACCAAAAAAGAACTGTGTCTGCAAACTTTTCAAAAAATTTACTCCTCCGTTCCAAGCACAATATTCTCATAAACAATTCTTCTGGCTCTAAATTTAGTCCAATTTTCTGATGGGAGCTCCAAAATTTTTTAAAAGATGTGTCAAAAAAACAGATATGGCTTTTTTCGTCGCCGGTTAAATTTAGTCTTTCATTTATTTGGTTTTTCGTTTTTCGACGGCATAAATAGATAATTCAGCTCATCAGATTTAAAAAGAACAATTTTGATCCTATATATACAAATTCCTTATTTTGTTTGCGGGGTTGTTTCTAGAACAAGATCCACCTCTTTAAAATTGTTTTGATTTACTGGCTAGTTAACGCCCTCGAAGCATTTATTTTCAAACTGCGGTCTTGTTAAGTTCTTCTCGTTAATTTCATCTAGCATTTGTTAAAATTTCGACTGTTTATCTTGATTAGCTGTAGAGAAAAAACCGTGAATAAAAAATGCTCATAGATCTAAGTCTTCTAAGTTGCGACGTCCACAGAAATCAGGAGTCCCGGGAACACCTAAACAACTATGTCAAAATGACTAGCAAACGTTGTTCTGTTTGAGCTTGTCAAAACTTCTCAGATTACAAATGTTAAACAAACCCTTAAAAAAATTGATCTGTCTCGGAATTTTCAAAAAAAGCAACAATTTTGCTGTACTTAACCGGCAATTTTGTCTGCAGATGGACTGATTTGAGAAAGCCCAGAGCCAGACTCTGAAAAAATGGACTGGGCAGAACTCATTCCAGCTAATTGAATTCTTTCGCCTTGAAGCGGGTGTTCAGAGCTACACAATCGAACACATAGGCAAGCTGAATTTCGATCGCTAGGGATAGAAAGTAAAATGGACAATTTACACGGGTCGAAGTGCTCAATTTATGCTTCGACCTTCAAAGTCGAGCACATGTTAAGGCTCGAACGGGAAAGAATAGTTGAGGCAAGGGTCGATACAAATTGCGAGCACGGTCGATACATACCTCGAGGAGGGTCGAAGCAAGGTCAAAAAATACCGATTGTCCCGCGGTAATTCGGAGTCGACAAAAAGATACTTCCAAACACCAACAAATTTTTAAATAATTTCCACTCAAATCTCAAATTGCAAACCAGCATTCCGAAAAGCGAAAAAAGTCGTTCAATTATAGCTTATCTGTAGAAAGCATTAAAATTACAAAAAACTATAATCGTTCCTTTCTGATAAGATGTTATCTGGACAACAAAAGTTATAAGGTAAAAATTTGGAAAACTCATTTTGTTTGAGTCATGAAATATTTTAACGCATCACTATCATATTTGAATGTGATTAAAATGAATGGCAAAAATTTTGTTATTTAAATACAAAGTGTGGCGAAAATGCTTGTTATAGAATTATCCTTTCGTAGTATGGAAAAAATGCTTAATTTGCTATTTCCATGAAATTTATTTTGGTCAATGAAAATCTATGAAACTGTATGACAAACAGTTTTTCATTGTATGAAATTGTATGATATGTAATTTTTATCAACCCGGGTTGTGGTCTATATCATTTCATCTCACTTATAGCATCTTTCATATTTCATCTCAACTGAAAGTTAGAATTCTAGGGAAAACTGATTTTTCAACACTTTTTTTTTTTACAGAAATCTGCATTTATTCAAATATCTACAATCAAATGCGTGTGGTATCATCTACAACTAGTGTGAATTTTCATATATTGCAAATTACAAAGGTGCCAATTGTTATTTGATTCTGCGGAATATCCGAAAAGTGGTTGCTGCGCATATCAAAATTATAGACTTTATTAATGCCCATGCTGAAACTGGCATTATTGTACCATTACTAAATAACAATTAACAAGCAAAATTTTCTTTTATCTTTTTATTGTGAAGTTTCAGCTTTTTTAAAAAACTGAGAAGTGAT